AAAACTGCATAAACTGAAACTTTCCAAGGTCCGCACGGATCTCTTGGAACTACACTGGACCCCCTCCTAGGCGCGCACAACGCGCCAGGGGCGACGCTGGAGGCGCCGCCAGGGGGGGCCCAAGCGCCAAGCCGAGAAATCCGCGCGGAATGCCGAAAATTCAGGTTTCTGTTGCAGTTCCTTCTTCGAAAAGCAGCGGCAGCGACGACGACGATGACGACGTCGGTGGCGACGGCGACGACGACGACGTCGGCGACGACAACGACGGCGACGACGACGACGTCGACGACGACGACGACGGCGTCGGCAACGACGACGTCGGCGACGACGTCGGCGACGACGACGTCGACGACGACGTCGGCAACGACGACCGACCCCCAGACCTCTGCTGGCGTGCGCCCTTGCCACGTTTTCGGGGCGGCTCCAGCCGTGACCACGAGGGCGCCCCCCAAGGACCGAAGAGGCCCGAGGACCTCGAGCCTCGAGCGTCGTTGGATCGATCGATCGGTCCTTAGTCGATCGACTCGAGCCTCGTACGTCGATCGATCCATGGACCCTCGGCCGACCCACTGGAGTTTCGAACGTCGATGGATCGATCGATTGACCCTCGGCCGACCCACTCGAGCCTCGAACGTCGATGGATCGATCGACCCTCGGCCGACCCACTCCGTCGATGGATCGATCGATCGACCCTCGGCCGACCCACTCGAGCCTCGAACGTCGATGGATCGATCGACCTTCGGCCGACCCACTCCGTCGATGGACCCTCGGCCGACCCACTCGAGCCTCGAACGTCGACCCATCGAGCGAGCCTCAGTCGATCGACGCCGACGCCGTTGACGCTCGAGCGGCCGTTGAGGCAGCATTGCGCGCCTGCTTCGAGGAGCTACGGCTCTCGGACGTGGCGCCGTCGCGGGCGGCCTTCGACCTCGCCTGCGTCTGCCAGATCGTCGGCGACGACGACGACGACGACGACGGCGACGGCGGCGGCGGCGGCGGCGACGACGACGACGACGACGGTCGACGATGACGGTGGCCCCGTGGCCTGTGCGCCAGGTACACGGCTCCCTCACAATGCTCGTTGCGGAAGGGCACCGCGGCGCCGGTGCTGGGCGCGAGTGCGGCCGCCTCTTGCTGCGCTCGGGGAGCGGGAGGGAGGGAGGGAGGGAGGGAGGGGGGGAGGGAGGGGGGGAGGGGAAGGAGGGAGGGCTCGAATCGCTCGCAGCCGCTGCCCGTCTGGGCCTTCCCCCCTCACCCGCCCTTCCCCTTCACCCCCCGCGTCTTGCTCCCCCCCCTCGCCGCGCAATCGCCTGGCCGCGCTGCTGGGCGGCGGCAGCCTCGCCGGGGGCTTCCGTTCTGCACGGTCCTTGTGATTGGATGTCTCCATATTGTTCCCATCGTTCTCCTAAACTTAATTGACTGCGTCTCGTGGGGGATGGGTCGGGGAGGGCCGTGTAAGATGGCCGTGCAGGTGCATCCCTCCTCCTGCCCTGTCTGTGGTTTCGCGCGGCACAGACCTGCGCGTTGCAGACTTTAGCCCGCCAGGGGGGGGTCTGGCGCTCAAGCGGGGCCTGATTTAGGCCCTGACCCCCCCCCCTCTGGGGCTAAATCGGCCCTCCGGTAGTCCTGCCCGGTCTGTCTGTCGTGTCCGCTCAAGCTTTTCTGGCTCGAAGGTCTTCGAGCTAGGTGCTCACGCGCCCTTCGGCCCCCCGCGGTGGGAGCTCGCGTCGCGGGCGCACGATCGCTGGCACCACGGCGAGGCGGTGGTGGCTCGCTGGGGCCGCCCTC